TGCTGAACCCGGAAACAGAATCACAGTGTGATTGACAGCTGCAGACAACAGCGCGCGTCCCAACAAAGCCAAAGAACGATTCACTCTGTTGTGATTGCGATGAGGGTCGTTTAATCACGGTTCTGATGAGAGTTCACGGATGATCCTGCTGGCTGCGGCGGGACTGTGCGGTGAGTGACGTCACGCGCGTGATGATGAAGATCCGCGGTGATTGTGATGTCTGATGATGAAGATGATGCTGTCGATGATGAAGATGGTGATGGTGATGTCTGATGATGGTGATGGTGATGATGATGATGGTGATGATGATGATGGTGATGGTGTTTTTCACTGCTGGTGACTGACCTGGTCTGTTTGTGTGGTCAGTCGGTGCAGATGTCTCTGGCTCAGCGGGTTCTGCTCACCTGGATCTTCTCGCTCCTCTTCCTCGTCCTGCTGGTGCTGAAGCTGGATGGAAAGGTCCGCTGGAGCTGGTTCCTGGTCTTCCTGCCTGTCTGGGTTTTTGACGGTGTTCTGCTGCTGCTGCTGGCTGTGAGGCTGGCGGGCCGCTGCCGGTCCGGGTTCGACCCGCGGCTGAAGCTCTGGTATCTGCTGGCTCTGATGATGAAGGTGGGCTTCTGTGTGACTCTGTGCGCGCGGCTGGAGCAGCTGACCAACCTGCGTCTGCTGATCATCTGTGTGCCGCTCTGGACGCTGCTGACCGGAGCCCTGATCCAGCTGGGATACAACATCCTGCCCCAGAGCACAGACTGACACACACACACACACACACACTACATACACAGACTGACACACACAGACTGACACACACACACACACACTCACACACTCACTCACTCACTCACTCACTCACTCACTCACTCACTCACTCACTCACTCACACACACACACACAGACTGACACACACACACACACTAAACACACAGACTGACACACACACACACACTCACACTAAACGCACACACTCACACATTTTGGCCAGCTGTATGAAGACGTTTGTACGTGAACACTCTTCAGTGTTTCTACAGAGAGCAAACATTCCAGTGTTTCTGTTCCTTCTCCTTTTTTTGTTTTGTTTTGTTTTTAAAGATAAATTTGACTCTTAAATTAATTTTGTACATTTGAGTTTCAATAGTATGTGATTTTATGCGTGTGTTTTGATCTTGTAAATATATGTTGTAATGGAGGCTGAGTTTTCCTCAGGTGAATCTCTTACTGCCAGCAGATGTGTTGTCTGTAGCTGAAGCCAGACTGATGAAGGCAAATACAGTGAAACTCCGTACAGAATAAAAGTCTGTTCATTCATCACATCATCTGACGGCGCAGGAATCTGTCCAAGGTACAGCCAGCGGAAATACAGACAGTCACAATACTGTATGAAGCATCATAATACTGTATCTCTGAGCACAAACTCCTGATATAGCTGTGACCCGATCTTCAGTATGACCTGACGAAGATGTTATTAAATCATCACAGATTATGGCCATTTTAATAATTGGTAACAGCTGCGGGATTCCTGCAGTATCTACTGAAAACCACATCATCTGAAGTGGAGCTGGCATTGAGAATCACGTCACATTGCGCTGAAATGCTCAGGAATGGCTGTGTGTGTACTGTCACCGTACAGAGATCTACAGGCAGTAAAATGGACTAACAGCTAAACTAACGGATGGACTAAAATATAATTTGCAAGCAGTAAAATTAAAAAGTAAATTGCACAGGTTTCATGATTTGGAGGAATCTGAATGTTCCAAATGTTGTATGTATTCCATAACTATTTATTCACAATACACAACTAATATAAATGAACAGATGTTGTACCTCAGTCAGTCGAGTTCAGCAGCAGCAGCCACAGAAGAAGGTCAGACGAACGCTGTGTGTTTAATGTTCTTCAGTCAGTACAGTCTGTGATCAGTAGATGGCAGCTTGAGACCGATCGATCCTCAGCAGCTCTACTGAGAAAAGAGGAACGGAAACATTGCTCTCCATAGGATGCTTAATTAGAAGAGGAATAAACTGCTCAGACTGAAGCCTATTCTCTGAAATGCTGCAGTGACAAATTATTCTATAACTTTCATTCATTAGTGTAATCAAAAATATGATCTGTTAAATGAAGATCTGAGTGTATCACGTGCTTGTGTTTCTCTCTCGTGCAATGGATCGGTCAGGCTGATTGACTGTGTGTTTGTGACGATCAGTGCAGCTCGTGTGTGTCTAGCCTCACACACACACACTCACTGTGTTCTAGTGGATCTGAAGCTGTAGAGCTCAGATCTTATGCGGTCAGTCAGAAGACGTGTGTCTCTGTAACTGTTTGAGATGGAAACACAGGAGGCCTTCAGACCAACAGATGGAGATCACCTTCACTAACCAGTACTGTTAACTAATTCCTCTGACCCTCCAGAACATCTCCAAGCAGAGCTGAGAGTTTTTCAGCTTCACTGACCAATGAGAAGGTGATGGAGATGTTGATTTGATCACTTCCTGTTCCAGAACGTTCCTGTGTCACTGACTGGAGGGAAAGTATTTTTGTACAAGCACTTTCACGCTGGTTCTCTGCAGCTTCGTGTTTGTGTTATAGTGTGTGTGTGTATGTGTGTGTTTGGCAGAAGAGGGAAGCTATGCGATCGGCTGCAGAGTCACGTCAGGGCTTGTTGAAGAACATTCCTGAACTCAGCTGCTCAGAAACTTTCTGTTCTCATCTGTACAGAAACAGCAGAGCCAACAGCATCAAACACACACACACACGACTGAAGTGTGTGAGAGACAGATGGACAGATGGATGACTGGGTTTCTCCTGCTGTAGAATGAGTGCTGTCCATCTTGAGTGTCTGTGGATATCGCCTCGGTCTGTAGACAGGAGCAGAAATCGTGTTTACAGCAAATAAAGCAAGAGCTGTTCTGGGCAGAGTTAGGGTTAGTTACTGATGAAACCCTGTGGCTGAGTTTGCTTCATATTACCAGCAACTTTACTTCTGCGGATAGTTACGTCACATCCTTTCTGTGTGTCATACATTAGTCCGTGATTTTATCACTCTAGTCTCATGTTTACACGTGATCTTTATAAATTATCAAGTCTTGAAGCTGTATTTGTGAAACAGTGAAATGGCCCACCCTGCAGCTCTTCCATTTTATTCATCATCACTGTAAATGTGTTCACGTGCACTGAAAAAACAAGTCTGATTAAACACATTGTACAATATTCAAACACAAAGCAAAAAAAAATAAAAATCATTCACTATTAGTTACAATAAAAAATGCATAACAACTACAAGTGATATGTTGCATGATGCTACAGAGTGGAAACCATAAGAAATATAGCAGTAAAAACAAAAACCCAAATATTAATATGACAATAAATGTCAGAAATACTGCTTCATAAATATAGTGTAATATCACGATGCATGATAATCTAAATTTCTGACTAAAGAGTGCTTGTGAGAACATCCATGACACGGCTGAATAAACTCTATAATCACTGTAAAACAAGGGAAATGAATTACAGTCAACAAGAACAATCACACGAGTCTGGGACAATGCTGAGAACGACGGTGACGCTGTTAAATACCCCGTATGTCAACGCGGAAGAGGCGGGTCTAACCTGGATCAGGGAAGTGGGCGGGAGCATATTCAGCCAATCAGAGATGAGCTCGTAGGACGCAGTGATTGACAGTCAGACCTGACAGTCAGGAACACGGAATCGGACCGCGTCTTTGATTGAAGTGAGGATTCGCCCAATCACCGCTGCAGAAGTCTCCGTCTCTGTCCAATCACAGGCAGCGGAGCGGCGGGGGGCGGGAGCGCGGCAGCGGCGTTCGGGCGGTCCGCTTGTGTGTGCAGTGTGAATGTGGCAGCCGCAGGGAGGGGCGCGCTGTTTATTCCATTATTAAAAGTGATTTCTGACAGAAGTTAAAAGTGATTTATAACGGAGGATATATATCGGCTCCTCAGCGCGACGCGCGACACTCCTGTCCGCGCTCTTTGTGCCGTTTCGTCGCGGGGACGGAGAGGATCATGGGGTCATAAAATGTTGGAGTAATCGCTCAAAAGACTCTTTTCCAGGACATATTTATATTTATTTATTCTTTTGCTCCGTGGATGAATGAAACGTCCCGTCAGGATGGAGCAGGTGAATATCCTGAAGAGATTCATTGAAGCCCTGAGAAGCGGCGAGCAGAAAGGAGAAGATAACTTCAGCTCGGACTTCATGGTGAGAACAGAACTAACGTTACAGACTCACTGAGTGATGAAATAACACGCACACACACACACACATACTCACACACACACACACACACACACACA